GGACACACAGACACACACACACGCACATTCACACAGATTCATACACACACACAGACACATGCTCGCACACAGCGGTGAATTCTGCAGGTAGGCAGCCCCCCCTCCCAGGTCTGTGTCTTGTCCTCTGTCACAGCTGCACTTTGCAAGGCAGGTAATGAGCAGGAGTCAAGGGTGTAGAGCGGGATGTGTGTGCGTGTGTGTGTGCGTGTGTGTGCGCGTGCGTGCGTGCATGTGTGCATGTGTGTGTGCGTGTGTGCCGTCTCTGCACATGCAGGCTAATTAATGACAGGGCCATTTTGTAAGGTAGGAAAGGATCACACACCCCCCCTGTGTCTGAGACAGAGCAGATACAGCACCGTGGGGGTAGCAGGGTTGAATAATATCAGACTGGTATGAGAGGAGGGTTTTGGGAGGACTTGAGGGCCATATCAAAAACCTGAGTATGGTGGGATTGCCCCCCCCCCGCCCCCCGGCTGCTCATGGGCCCCTCAGAAACCAAGGTGATGCCCTCCCACTCTCTGGGACCCAGCGTTTGTTACATTTTGTTGGGTTGAGCCCCCCCAGATCCTGCATGGATAGGTGTTGAGGTTGAGTGTAACTGAATTCTGTATTATTGTATTAGTGTGTTTAGGCGCCTACAGTTACACATTAGGGTGTGGGGTCCTGTGTAGCCCCCTAATAATTGTGCTTCTGTGTTACATAATTGTGGTGTGTTTGCATGGACAGGAATCCATATTTGCAGTTTGGTATGAGCTTTTACGCCCTCGTGCCTGTTTGTGCGTCTATATGTGTGTATCTGTGCATGTCTGTGTCTTTGTGTGTCTGGTTGTGTGTGTCTGTTTGTGAATGTGTGTGTATGTCTGTGTGTGTCTGTATTTTGCTTTACTGCTAACATCCCCCCGGCCTACGCCCTGTGTGCTTTGCCATGCTCTGCTGTGCTCTACTGTGCTATTCTGTGCTCTGCTGTGCTCTGCTCCGCATGGCCGGCCCGCTTTAATCATAACCTCTCGCTGTATTATTTTGCAGATCGCTTACCCATTCTCCCATATTAGCTTTCCCCAGAATGGCAGGCAGTCTACCCACTGACAAATTCAGTTTCTTGTACCAACCCGACGGCTGTCAGAACCTGAAGAGGTCAGTGTGACACCCCGTGTGTTTTTTCCGGCTCCTGGCGGGGCGGCGGGTTCGAGCTCGGCGCCCCCACCTGGCCACGCCAAACCCCACCTTTAAATGTTACCTCCAGCTGAACTGTGTGTAAAGATAACTGCCCCATCCCACACCACCATTAAACTACCCTGTGCTGATTGAAGACTCAGGTGTTGGTACAGAATAAACTGAATCTCACCACCCGCATGCTGCCTGCCCGCCCGCCCGTCCGTCTGTCTGTCTGTCTGTTTGCTTTGCTGTCCTTTGATAACATGCCTTGCTTCCTTTCTAGTTGGGGGGTGGTTAGGGGACATTCTCCATGACTTTTTTAGCCATCACCTGGCTGTTTTTTTGGGGGATCGTCCCCTTCGCAGCCTGTCCCATAAGACTTTGAGGGTTCTGATGCCAGATGGCGGTCGGTCAGTGTCCTGTGTCCCCTGGTGTGGGGCTGTTTCTGGTCACTTTCACCAGGACCCTCTGCTGCTCCTTTCGTGTGACCTGGTTCTGTTATGATCACATGGGTGGCACTTTAAAGGTCCCTCCTGAAAGCCTGAATAGGAGGCTGTCATTCCCTCCCCCCCCCCCCAATGTAACACGCACGCAAGCGTTCTGCAGTGTCCTGTATCTCTGATTGGTTTGGACCAAATGAAAGCTGCACTCTCCTTACATCCGGCGTGGGGGGGTGGGGGGGTGTCTCCTTACTGACTGGCGTGTCACCTGTCACCCACGTGGGTGGCCGCGGGATGGCGGAGGCCAGCTGTCACTCGGGGGAGTGGCTTTGCTTTTGACGCCTGATCCGAGGTTCTCCACTGGCCAGCGACAGGCCCGTCACATGGTGTCCTGGTGCGTTTCAGAGTCACACGGTTCTGTGTTTGGCCGTGTAGCGCGTGTGGGCTAGCCTGAGCACAGAGCCCCAAAATACCCCCCTGCCGTGTGCCGGGACCATAAACACTGCTGTAGGTCCAAAGTTGGTGCCTCCTTGACCTTGTAAGGTGCCGGCGAGAAGGACAGCGGTCTGTGGATCGCCCCCCGGTTTTTCATACGGGGGTATTTCTCCTTAGAGATGGGGGAGGGTGGACAACAGCCGGCTCGCTGCTGATTGGCTGCTCTCACGGCCGGGTGGCCAGACGGAGATGAGGCCGTGGGCAGCGGGCTGTAATCGGCTGGGTCATGCATGCGTGAACGGGGCGTCTGGGAGCACCGGGGTGAGATTCCGAGCTGCCACTAGGGGGCGTTTGTGCCAGGGGGGAACAGAGAGTCCTCTGAAAGCCTTGGTTTTTATTGTGAGGCTGTTCTCTGTTTATGCCTGTTTATCTACATCTATCAAAAACAGCAAGAGCTCCCACAGCATCAGCTGTGCAGGTTCATATGTCAGCGTGTGAGCTGAACAGCGGTGAATAGGGAGCCCTTTTTTAACGGTGTCCTGAAACGAATGCCATTTTGGCTCTAGGTGAGGAATTCCCAGAAGCCCCTGCTTCGCCTTCCAAGATGGCGTCCCGTGACCTTGAGCGGAAGTCAGTTAGCCACAGTCAATTAACCCCCGGCGTGTCCCGGCTTCTCCGAGAACACCCGGGCTCCTGTGCGTGTCTGCAAGTCCCTTTAGAGCAGTTCATCTTCTGCCGGAATGGTTATCTCACAGGAAAAGAAAACGCATGTGTGGAATACGGGGTCCGTAAAACAAAAGCTAGTTAGCGGAGCTGCCTTCCATGGGCAGGGGGGTCCCTCTCACGCCCAGCGCTGCTACGTCACACCGTCCGGCACAGCGGACAGGAAGAGGAGCTGAAGGCTGCCTGGGTTTGTCATTCAGAACGGGCTGAAGACCAAGCAGAATTTCTGAAATAGGGAAATTCCCCTCCATGTTTGTCTTCTTTTGACCTTGACCATGACAGATCTTACCGGGATACGGTGCACTGCATTGTACACATGGTCTCATGGGAGTCTTTACCTTTCTCGTGTTATTTTAAATGCTTTTCCCTCTCTCTCTCCCTCTCTCTCTCTCACCTCATTCATGCATCCTCACTCTGTCTTTCAGTAAGAGCAGACTGTCTTCCGCCATGAACCCGGTCTACAGTCCCGTCCAGCCCGGGACCCCCTACGGAAACGCCAAGAATGTGGCATACACAGGTAAGCCTGGGGGAGGGGCCGGGGGTCGGGAACGAGCGGCACTGTGCTCTGATTGGTGGGATTAAGCGCCACTCATTTGAGGCCGCAGGGCGCTCTGCAAATGGGCTCGTTGTCCTCCACGTGTCCTTCCTTTCTATTTTTGTTTCTGTGCCGGCTGCTATTCCGCGCGTCCTGCAGGTGAACGACGATCCCTCCCTGCTCCTACTTTCTGACTATTATGTCGGTCCTCTTTTCTTCTCTCAGCCTTTTTTTTTTTTTATTTCATTTTCTGCATTTCCTCTCTTACATTCGTGTTTTGATGTGTTATCCTTTTTATTTCCCTCAGGCCACACACCTTTGTAATTAATCAGGTTTCACCACAGAATGTCTGACTGCTGGCCATTGGTGTATAGCGCACATGGTGTACCCCACAAACGCCTCCCACCGGCAACACCACCCCGAGCTCTTTGGTTCCGCTCCAGGTTCTGAAGCCGTCCTGCCGCAGGGTGTCCTACCCACGTCCACAGGGAGCCGTTTAATACACTGCCGGATCCACTGTAATCTGGTTGTGTAGAAAATGTCACTTTGGGAACCACTGTGCAACTTGGGAACCCTGAAGGTCTCGTCAGCGGCAATCAATGGCCCCCTCCGCTGGCCATGTGCTGGGGATGCCAGCCGCATTCACCCAGACACCAGGCAGGGCTCGCTTAAATCCGGGCGCTTCCCATGTGACCAAAGGTCGGCTATGCAGGCCGGTACATCTCCTCCGAGGAATGTCGCAGTCACATAGACACAACGTAGACAGAAACGGCATGTTCGACTCGTGATAGAACAGCTCGCTGTCGAACCAATGAACTGAGGGAAGGTTCCGGCTTCGCCCTGAGTTTGTGGACCTCAGTAGAGAAGCTGAAAGTGGAAGATGAGGATGAAGATGTGATTCTGTCTGGCTGTGGGCCTTTGCATCCTGGCTGGCTTGATTCCATTTTATCGCTTTGCGATACTTTTCAGCCAGTGGGGTTAGTCTGGCTAGCGGTTAAAGCTTGACCCAGGCATCTGGCAGCTTCTAGAAATCTCCATTAGACAGCTACCTGCCCTGACCCCCTTGGGTCAGAAGCCCACACAGGGTGACAGGTACCTGTCCATTTGAAATGTCTTTCGTTGCAACCGCCTGAACCGATTCCTCGCTGTTTGTTTATCTAGTAAACATCTTTTTTATGGACTGTGGTGTTGATGCAAACGATCCAGGCCATGCTGACTGAATTGGCAGGGCGAGGGGGGGGGATGGGTGTGGCATTTCAGAGTTCCCGTCAGATTCACCTCCCCCCCCTCCCACCACCATCATGAAGTGCATGGAGATGAAGCTTGCTTACATTATCTCCTCTTGTCAGGAGCCCCCAGGCCCCTGAAGGTCTAATAAAGTGTTCTGTCAGGGTGGGGGGTTAATTAAAATAAAATGAGGGTAATTTGTTCCAGGGGTCCGCTATTGAAAGATTACATATATGCCACATGATCTTGCCTTTGTGTTTCTCTTGGGGAGGGGCTTCCACAAGCGGCCATTAAACCTGTTTATCGTTTGTCTCTGTATCTTTGGTGTTTTGTGTTTTTGTGTTTTGTTCGGGTCCCCTTCAGCAGCTTGTGGCGGGACATGGTGGCACGTCTGCGCTTCCCGGGGGTGCGGCCGCGGCCGTGTGCCAGGGACCCAGGTGGCTGCATAGGGAGTGACGTGGTCAGGTGACAGGTGTCAGACTCCCGGGTCACATGCAGGAGCAGAGCGTGCGCCGTCTCTTCCTGAGGCGCTCGTCATCCACATAAATCTTTCTTTCATCTCTCTTTCTCTCGCTGTCTTTTTTTACGCTCTGTCTATCCATCACCCTCTTCACCCTGCGTCTCCTCCTCTTGCTGCTAAACCTTCTATGACCTGCGTCTCCTTCCCCGTCTGCTGTCCTCCTGCCTCCCGCCTGCTCCCGTTCCGCCGCCCCGCTTGCTCTGCCCCCCCCCGGCTCCCAGGCGGCCAGCTGCCTTGCAGCGCCGCTGCTTTTGGGCCGACTGGTGATTAATGAATTCATGGACCTGCGCAGAGGGGAAGGTGTCGCCGACACGGGCCACAGACCCCCCCCATCCCTCGGAGATCGTGCTCTTCCGAGCCCCCCGAGGCCTTCTGGCTGTGCTCCGACGGGCTTCTGCACATACGATAGCCTGGCTTCCTGTGCCAGTGTAATTGCGCCCTTGAATCGGGTTAATTTCACTGACCTTCACTGGCAGAGTAAAATATGCATCTGTCTGAAAAATATATAGTACCCCCTGCCCTGCAAGCTCACTGTCCCCACCCCCCCACATCTTCTCTGTCAGACTCGTCCATGATATAAACTTTTTTACCAGCTCCATTTCCCCAAACATCTTTGAAGGGGGTGACAGCGTGTGACACCGTGTGACAGCGTGCTCTTGCTTTCACCCCACCCTTCCTGCCCTGTCTCCCTCCCTCATTTTTCCATTTTCTCTCCACTAAGCTCCTTGTTTGCCCTGTATTACCCTGCCCCCCCCCCACTCTCATCCCCCCAGGCAGCATCCTGTGGTGAGGTGCATGAGTCTGCTTTGTTCCTTCCTGTTGTCATGCAGAGTCCCACCCCCCTCCCCTTCCCTGTCAGTGCTGTGGCCAATGATAATCAGAGCCTCGGCCCACCTTACATCGGTCAGCCTATCACGTTTTTCCCAGCTTAATGCATCATGCGCGGCGATCTCAGCGTCGTTTGAGGATCGGGGGCATTCCCACGCAGTGAGAGCCTGGTCTACGTTTGTAACCGTGTCCTTCTGCCTGGGGGGGCGTGCGGGGTAGCATCGGGATGAAAGGGATCTTCATGAGAAAGAGCCAGAGCCAAAATGGCAGCCACGTCACTCGTGCCAGCCATTATGAGGCTCCTGTTACACAAGGCCCTGTTAATCAATCCCAGAGCTTTCACCAAAAAGGGATTAATGTGAGGTTTATTTATAGGGCCGGGACTGCCAGCGCCGGCCTACTTCCGCGTATCCAAGCTTCTGAAAGTGAAAGTGCTCCAAAAAAAAACCATCATCGTGAGCATTTACAGACCAAACATTATGGGGAACTGCCTATTGCATGCTTTCGGTAACATAACCGCCTGATTCAAGTCAGAGAGTGGGAGCAGTACCAGCCAAACACCACGGGGAAAATAGAGGCATCAATAATTCATGGTGCTGCCCTGTCCTGTCCCATGCTCGTCAGCCTGGTGTCAGCAGAGCAGGGACTCTCCCCCGAGGCACTGCGCTGTTTGTGAACATGTGCTTTACGCCGATCTAATGAACATGGTAACGAATGGAATCAGACAGCAGGGCTCAAACAGGCCTTTGCCCTCTGTGCTGGGGGGCCCCGGGGCTCTTCGCTCCTCCAGGAGGGACGCGGGTAACGGGATGTTTAACTTGCAACCGCCATCCTCATTTTGTAGCTGGTCATCCATATCGCCACACAAAGGGGGAAACGCGAGCCGTGGAAGGTCGTATGCGGTGGTGTGGATGGGCGGTGAACAGCATGATTAAGTGAGATTAAAGAAATTAAAAGCGGTTTTTAGAATGTATTTCTAAGGCGGGGAGACACTGTGACCCTTCTTGGCGTAAGGCGTAGGACACCTTTCATTTGGGCCTGACGGGTCTTACATCCGTTCTGTACATCTGACTTTCCCTTTGGGGGTGGGGGGAGCCTTTTAAAAGCACTGCTCCCCCCAGCAGGACGCACTCCCCAAGTCGGCCCCACACACACACACACACACACACACACACACACACTAGAAGAGCCTGTCGCCTTGCTCGTTTGTAACCAGCCCCTCCGAGGGACTCTGTCTCCCGCCGGGGGGTGGGGGGGGGACAAGGAACAGGAAAGGGTTTCTGCTGCTCTGATTGTCTCGTTGCCGGGGGCGCTGACGGTCATTAGCATTCCAGCAGAGAGCTGGAGTGGCTGTTGCTATGGCGATGGGCATTGATGAAGGCCGGTGGATGCAAGCAAATGAATTTAAAGGTGCCCTGGGTGATGCTTTCACGGGACAGGAAAATGGATGTAAAGTGACTGGGCCTGAAATATCAATACACAAGCCAAGCAATTGAAAAGTAATTACTGACGAGAGAATCGGTGAGCTTGTCCCTCATGAAGTGGCACTGAAAGTCCGGTGATAACATTTGAGATGGACCTGTCACAACCCCCCCCCCCCCCCCCCCCCCTCGAAAATCTTTTCCTCTGCAAAGAAAAAAGTCTCTTTGTTCTCCGTGGGGGACACATGATTAAAATGAGAAGAATTATAATGATATGTGGCTTTGCTGTTGGATGTCATACATTCATGAGTTTTGCAGGTGCTTATAGCTTATAAGCGTAGCACTATAGTTGCTCCTAACAAATGGTAAACCTTTAAGGAAGGTGGTGTTTTAGCCCAATGGTACCCAGTTCCCTTCCCCGTCCCTCATCCTCTGGTACCCAGTCTTCTACCCTGTCTGTCATTCTCTGTCCCCATCTCTCATCCACTGGTACCTGGTCCTGTCCCACATCCCTCATCCTCTGCTACCCGGTCCTGTACCCCATCCCTCATCCTCTGGTACCCAGTCTTCTACCCTGTCTGTCATTCTCTGTCCCCATCCCTCATCCTCTGCTACTCGGTCCCCTCCCACATCCCTCATCCTCTGCTACCCGGTCCCCTCCCACATCCCTCATCCTCTGCTACCCGGTCCCCTCCCACATCCCTCATCCTCCGGTACCCGGTCCCCTCCCACATCCCTCATCCTCCGGTACCCGGTCCCATCCCTCATCCCTCATCCTCTGCTACCCGGTCCCCTCCCACATCCCTCATCCTCTGCTACCCGGCCCTGTCCCCCATCCCTCATCCTCTGCTACCCGGCCCTGTCCCCCATCCCTCATCCTCCGGTACCCGGCCCTGTCCCCCATCCCTCATCCTCCGGTACCCGGCCCTGTCCCCCATCCCTCATCCTCCGGTACCCGGTCCTGTCCCCCATCCCTCATCCTCCGGTACCCAGTCCTGTCCCCCATCCCTCATCCTCCGGTACCCGGTCCTCTACCCTGTCCGTCATTCTCTGTCCCCATCCCTCATCCACTGGTATCCGGTCATCTTTCCCATACCTTATCTTTTAGTACCTGGTCTTCTTCCCAATCTTTAGTCCTTCTTTACCTTTTCCTTGGTCCTGGTTGATCGGTCACTCTTTACCATACCCACTAACCCCCTCTGAAATTTGATTTGGTAGGTGATCTTGTATCCTTGCTTCACGTCACATGGTAAATGATGATAAAGCCCATAAATGGAGAACAGGTGCTGGCTCCTTACAGATAAATCCCAGTATGTTGTGCTTCACTACACGTGTGTTTTCTTGCCCTTTATTTGGGATGTGCACCAGCGTGTGACAGCCGTGTAATTGTGTGAAGCAGGTCTGCTGGAGAGAATCTGAGCTGTTCTCGTCCTGCTGGCTCTCTGCTGTCTTAGGGAAGGTAATTCTGGGTAATTTGGACGGGTGTTGCTCCGCTAATTCCGTCTCTCAGCACCGTTCTCCTCAGGCTCGCCTGGGTATCACGCTAGCTAATTAGCAGGAGGGCAAAAAATGCTATGAGATGACTTCACTCACTGGCTCTGTGGTAATTTCATACTAATTAGCATGGCAGTTGTTTTAATCTGAAGAGGAAGGCGACTTATATATGTATACATCCCGTCTGAGTAATTCACTTTAAATGCTTTTTAATGGAGATAGATGGAGTTCAAAGCTGTGCATTCACCCGCCCTCTTGTATGGAAGCTGTTATGGACGATTTCGATCACTTTGCAGAGAAAATTGTCAGAGCAATTTGGTTGCCATTTATCATGCTTTATTTTAGATGTGTGCAAATATTATCTGTCTTCCCACGGAACCTTAGTGATTTACTGTTGGGTTTAATTAAAATTCAGACCTCAGCAAAATTTGGACTTAAAACAGTGTTTCTTGTTTGTTTTTTTCCACACTGAGTTTGCTTAGCTTTAGTACACCCCCCTACCCCCCCGTACAGGGGGTGCTGTACATAGGCTGCTGACTTCAGTCCGGTTTAAACTCCCATCATTCCTTGGTGTTTTGACCCATTTGATTAGACCTTTGAGTCGAATATTGAACAGCATCTCCGGGAAAGTGTTTCACATCAGACACCCCTTTAAGGATTAAGGTGCTTAATGATGGGTTACTGACCATGGTACACCATAGTACATGTTGACCGACACCCTTTGATGCTGCAAACTGCTGAGCATGTACATTTAGCCAGGTCTGCGCGAATCGTCAAATGGAGAGTGAAGGTCGGCTTTTGGACTGTGGACATGAGCTGGATTAGCAAGTGTTTATGGGTCAGTCCACAGGAGAGAGGTGACTACTTGAATATTTAACCAGTCGGGTTGGAGACACGCAGCCCAGTGGTACAGTTCGGACAGGAACGGGCCAGATCACTAGTCTTACCAAACCAGCCTCGAGTCCAGCCCAAACTGCTATATTTACATGCTGCCTTCTGAAACCGCTTCATTGCTCATGGCATGACCTGAATTTCACAAGCCAGCAAACCGTTGGTAGGAAAGCACTTCATACTGATGTGTGTAATAGCTTCGCATTTTTATATTTTTGGAAACATTTTGATTAGGCCAGTGTCTGCGACAGCTTCCAGAACCCAGAGAAGGAGCGGCCCAGAGGCATTGAGCGTAGCCCTCGTTATGGGTACAGTGTGTTAAAAGGGCCTGGTCCCAGTGTTTGAAGGAGGTATTTTTGCTATGAATGTTGCTATGGTTACGAGGCAGCGTATTGTGCAACGAAGATATTTTTTTAATCCATTTGGCATGCAGGGTTAGGGTTTTCTCAATCTCAGCGCAGCACATACACTCACTGATGCTTGCGTGTGCGAAGCTGCTGGCTCTCTGTTACGAGTATTTCATCAGAACTGGGGGGGGTTAGGGTCCCCTCGCCAGTCAGGCCCAAAACTCATATTTATATATTTCTCTGCATTAAAAGTCGAAACAGCTGTCAGCCTAACATCTCCTAGCGAGTAAGTTTGGTTTTCTGGATCTTTCTGTGTCGCTCACATTCTCGTCCTCGTACCGGTACTTCGGTTAAAAGCATCTGCTAAATAACCTGAAAAATGTCAAAAAAATATGTAATGAGAGCCACCATTTCTATTTCAGGCTGGGGTGGGGGGGACATCTCACTGTGTTTGTCCCGCAAACGAGGAAGGAGACACAGATCCTGCTTTTCTCATGAAGTTCATTTTTTAAGTGTAATCTGTTTTCACCAGTTCCCTTGTTTTTTTTTTGTTTCAGGTTAAGAATGGTTTGGCTAAAGCAGGGGTTTAGGAACCGGGAGGGTCGTCCCCCCCCCAAAAAAATAAATAAATAAATAAATAAAATCATTTGATTTCATTCATCCTCTCAGGAAACAGACTGTTGTATTTGAATTATCAAGTTGTGCCCCCTAACCTCGAACACTCTCCTATGCTAATGGGCTACGGTCAAATCAAGAGGGAGTGCCTGTGAAGATCCTGCCAGTGTGTGTCTGTGTGTCTGTGTGTGTGTGTGTCTGTGTGTGCGTGTGTCTGTGTGTGTGTGTGTGTGTGTGTGTGTGTGTGCGTGCATGCGAGCGAGTTTACCTATCCTTATGGGGACACAATGTCCCCATAACGTGATAAATATCCGTTTTTTTTTCCCTTATGGGGACCGGTTTCCTGGTCCCCATAAGGGAAAACTCTATTTTATAAAAATCGGTGACTGCTATGAAAAAACTAAAAATGCAAAAACTCTTGTATTTTGTTAGGTTACTTATGGTTATGGTTAGGGCAGGGTAGGGGTTAAGTTTGTCATAGTTAGCGTTAGCATTTTTCCCATTGAAATGAATGAGCGGTCCCTATAAGGATATGTTTACCCTACGTGTGTGTGTGTGTGTGTGTGTGTGTGTGTGTGTGTGTGTGTGTGTGTGTGTGTGTGTGCGCATGCACACGCTCTGGATGGATAATCACTGCTTCCCTGTCGCAATGATTAGAGGATCTGTCCCCCGACTGTCACTGGATCTCCGTTTCTGTTAGTAGGGATTGGGGCTCCTTGGTAAGCTAGCTGGTCTTCTCACTCTGCACGTGCCTCAGGCGTGAGACCACAGGCAGCTCCTTCAGGTCTCGCCCTGGAGTCAGTCGGGTCGTAGAAGCGCAGTGTGATGCTACAGGACTGAATAAGCAACGCCGTGTTGTTTCTTTATGCCGTGGGGGTGTTCAGCAGGAATTTGGACGGCCCTCTGCATAATATTTATCTTTTTCCCCTCCATTATGGTGTTGTGCGACTACAGCTCCACTGGGATTAGATCAGGTTTTTATTTTTCTTAATAACTTGTGATGGAAGTCGCCCCACGTTGATTTAAATGCTAATTAATTACCGTGGTGTCGGTACAGGGTAATTAAAGGCTCAGACACCCTCCTATACACCTCAGAGAGCTGTGACGGTGTATTGTGTGATCCCTGAAGGTGTACGCTCAGATTCTGGCCACAGATTCAGGACATTTGACAAGAGGTGGCATTCCTGGCTCACCTCCACTCCAGAGCCCTTTCGCCTCCTTAATAAAGCTGTGTTAGTGCTGAATCCCTGCATCATCAATGAAACTGGCCAGCTGCATTTAACATGTAGGAATGTCACAGCCCCCCCTACTGGTTTGGAGTACAGATGCATCGATGTGCCCTCGTGGATCATCTTCACGTGGGGAGGGACTCTGGAGTGTTGCATCATGTGTCATGATGACTTTCCACTGCCTGTGTCACCATCGTGTTGCGTTCACCTTGTCATTCATAAAGTCCATGTGGCTGCTCAGGACTGGATGACTTAAATGTCCCAATGGCCAGCGAGAGCCTTATGATTGGGAAGGTTCAGTGATATTTCTGCTAGGGGTGGGGTGGGGGGGGGGCTTCATTTAGATTTAATTGCTCTGGGAGAAGGAGCTGATTCCAGGTTTTGAAGTGGCTAAACATGGTGGGATGGCAGCAGGTGAATATGGCGCCAAATATGAGGCATGTGGCTCCACTAAGTCCAATCCTGAGTTGGCTGCCGGTCCCTTTCGGCGTGACGTGCCTCTAAGCTGGCTGCCGGTCCCTTTCGGCGTGACGTGCCTCTAAGCTGGCTGCCGGTCCCTTTCGGCGTGACGTGCCTCTAAGCTGGCTGCCGGTCCCTTTCGGCGTGACGTGCCTCTGAGCTGGCTGCCGGTCTATTTGCCTCTAAGCTGTTTTCTCCTCTTCCTCAGGCTATCCTGGAGGGTATCCCACCACCGCTCCCACCTACACCCCCAATCTCTACCAGACTGGCAGTCCAGGGTACCCCCCAGGTAAGACCTGCCCCGCTCCAGCTGGTACCCGCCCCTGCCTGCCCCCACTCCATGCTCCCCGTACCAGTTCCTCCCTCACATACCCGCCCCTGCCTGGATCAGTTCCCCCCCCCCATAACGGGAGGTGACAGGTGCGTCCCAGACCACGGCCTCCTCTCTGCCTCTCTCCGCACGAATTGACTCCTGTTCAGGCGAACATTCAGATATCAGTTTATGGAGCGGTTAGGATCAGACTAACCAGAAGCCACCTAGCAGTAATTAAATGGGGGGGGGTGTGATGGGGTTGGACAGGCCAGCCAAGAAAGCAGCGCTGGGTTACTTGGGTTAGTAGAGATGTGTGTGTGTGTGTGTGTGTGTGTGTGTGTGTGGTTTCTTATCCGTTGTCCTGTCTCTGTCACTGATGTTCAGCACTTCCTTTGGGTAATTACAGCCCATTCTGTAGGTGGGACAGTGTAGCCCAGCAGAAGATGGCAGCGATGGTGCACTTGTGGTATCCAGGTTTCATACAGAAGCCCCACATTTCATGGCTCTTTTCATGATTTTGTCTGTCATCCATTTTTATCACTGAGTTTGTCCTCTTAAGTAAGTCAGCTCTAGCAGGATTATTACACTGACACTTATTATCTGAAAATACCAGCAAACTTTTCCGGCAAACTGTCAGCACAACCGAGACTCACCATCTGTGCTTCAGAGAGACAGGAGTCTGACTTGAGCTTGTGACTCTTGGAGGGAGTTTGTTCTGTAACTCGCAGTCTGGGTGGTACGACTCCTATTGTTTATCCATGGTGTAATTAAATCTCTTCATCCAATGAGGTGCCTTAGAATTAATGGATTACCAAGAATACTTTAATGTTCCACAGGGAATTGAATTAACAGTGAATCAGAGGAGTGGGTGTGTTGGAGGGGGGAGGTATGTATTGCATTGTGGGGACAAAATATCTTCACAGTGTGATAAAAACCTGTTATTTTGACGTTGTGGGAAGCATTTTTTTGTTCTCCACAAAAGGGAAGCTTAAGTTTCTAAAAATCTGTGACTGCAATAAAAAAACATTCAGAAGTCTTGTATTTTGTTTTCTTACTTGTGGTTAAATTAGGGCTTGGTAGGGATTAAGGCTGTCATAGGTCGGTTTAGGGTTTTCCCCCTAGAAATGAATGGACGGGACCCACAAAGATTTGAATACAAACGTGCATGTGCATGTGCGTGCGAGATTGAGAGAGAAAGAGAGAGAGTGTTACTCTCTGCAGTACCCATTAGTGTGCTTGGGCAGGTATTTCGCAGCCGTTTGGCGCCCCCTAATGGTGTTAATGTGTATTTTACAGAGCACAAGAACTTCAAAGGAATTTAAATTGGTCAGTAGCAGTGACTTGGTTTTTTAACTGATGGTACAGCTAAAGTGAAAAATACTGGCCAGGTTTAAAGGAGACAGACATCAGAGACACCCAAAGGCAGCCTATATATCTAGCAGCCTCTGTGTCTGCCATAAAACATTTAAAATTTCATTTGAAGACATGTAACAGGAGTCCTGGGGTGTTCTGTGAATAACATATTACATTAGAGTTTTAAAATACAGCTTTACCCCCAGGGCTTCACTAAAGAAGCTTGAGGAGAGTAAAGTGGAAATTCTGGGAGACTCAGTGCTGTGTATAAGCATTACCAGCCGCCCCCCCCCACCCCGTGCCACATCCCAGAATCCCCAGCTGTCAGTCTGCTTAGGATTGCAGCTTTTGTTCGGCCGTGTTAGGTGCTAAAATGTGACAGAGCCAGGCTGGGGTGAAGTTATTAACACCAGCGGGGGTGCAGTCACGGTTATAATGTTCACTAGAGCCGGGAGGAAATTTTGCAAACACTTCCGGTTCATTCCGGCTTGGGAACATTTGACCTTTGTGGGAAGAAAACCGTGTCCAAGACCTTGCAGTATTGTTGGTGGTTCAGCATCAGGCAAATCCACAGATACAGGCCAGGAGGGGAAGGCAAACTAAACAAAATATTACCATTTCAATGTAACCCTTCTGGAGAATCAAGTGAGCTGCTTTCGGAAAACCAGCTGGGAGATGGGGAATGCTGATTTAAGGCTCGCCCTTGGGCAGGTGATGGATGGGTCTATCAGAGCGGCATTAAATTATGGGTGGGGCTAACTGGAGGCTGATCAGGGATTGGGAGGGCTATCAGAGCAGCATTGGATTATGCGCATGGCTAACGAGGCTTATCTGTGATTGGGAGGGGCTATCAGAGCAGGATTGGGTTATGGGCGGGGCTAACTGGAGGTTTATCAGGGACTGGGAGGGGCTATCAGAGCAGGATTGGGTTATGGGCGGGGCTAACTGGAGGTTTATCTGGGATTGGGAGGGGCTATCAGAGCAGGGTTGGGTTATGGGCACTGATAACTGGAGGTTTATCAGGGATTGGGAGGGGCTATCAGAGCAGCATTGGATTAAGAGTGGGGCTAGCTGGAGGCTTATCTGGGATTGGGAAGGGCTATCAGAGCAGGGTTGGGTTATGGGCGGGGCTAACTGGAGGTTTTTCAGGGATTGGGAGGGGCTATCAAGATTTTGCTTTGTGTGTAAACTGTGTTGTGGCCCATGGATCGTTGTGTGTGTGCATGAACATACGTGTGTGTGTGTGTGTGTATAACACCCAACCCCCTCTTCTGTCCTCTCTGCCGGGGCAGTGCTGTTGCTGAAGCAGGGCTGGCCACAGAGCTCCACGGCAGGGGCTGCGGAGGGGTCCTATGAGCTGGCTGTGGACGCGGGGTCAGAGGGCAGAGCTTACCAGGCCCCGACGGCAGCCTTCAGTAAATATCCCTCCTCTTCTCTGGACATTTGCAACCCCACCACCACACCCCATGCATTTCTGACACGCATCTTGCGGGGTTCGGGGTGGGGGGCGTGTCTCTAGTGCAAGGAAAAACAGGAAGTGGTATACAGAAAAGGAGGCCGGTCTTAGCAGGAGCAAGTTAGATCTTCGGTGGGTGGGTTTTGGCATTAGGGGCTGGGTCAACTCCCTCCACCCCCAACTATGCATGGTTTTCATACATTGTTTAAAACCATAATGTAAACAAGAGGAGTCTACAGTTAGAGAAAATGTTGTTTATTTAGCTGTCTGGCATGGAGTCACACTGTGGAGGGTGTAAACATGTGACAAAGCAGCATGGAACAGTTCATCAGTTAGAAACGCTTAAAAAATGTCAGCAGGCTGACATCGCTGTGTGTGTTCCCCATTGAGATGCCAAATAATGCAGTTTTTGATGATATGCAGTGTGCATGTGTCTGTGCTTCTGTGTTTATGTTTAAATGTGCTCATTTAAGGTTAGTGATATTTCTGTTTATGGCGGGCAAGATTTGTGCAAGAAGTGAATAGCAAACAGGTCTTAAGTTGTTTCATGAACATGAAAGTGCCTTAGAGCTAAGGTGTATTTCTGTTAGAGGTCAGTTGCGCTTGTGCTGGAAAATTGTGGTGGCAGAAAATGTTCCTCTCTCCAGACACACGCATTCAAGTTCAAGTTGCAGCCTGTCACCATGTTAGTGCGCCAAAATGGCAGCTGTTGGAGGTGTGCACTGGTGTACAGACATGCCAGAATGTGAGGTGACGTCCTTCACAGTGACTTTGATCGTCATTTTCAGGTGCTCTGTGGGTTAGTGTGCAATCTTGTTAAATGTTAAAGAGAAATGTGCATGGTTATCCGTTATCGCATAGCACTTCATGTTTAGTTCTTAGCAAATAGAAGTTAGATGTTGTCAATTAGTGGGTACCAGTTAGCGGTTAGCTGATATCGGTTAGCGGTTAGCTGATAGCGGTTAGCTGATAGCACTTAGTACTCATCACAGGGTTGCCACTAGCGTTTACATGCGGGGATGATCAGCACCACAGCAGAGGACAGAATAGAGACCACATGTGACTTTTAGCAGTTAGCAGTTCACAGATAGCAGTTAGTGTTTATCAGTCATCAGATAGATGTGTCTTCGGACAGTTACACTTCAGCGATTCTCTCTGCACTGCCCTGGTTCCTGCTTCACCAGGTGCCTCCCAGCTTCCCAGCATCACGCCCCTCTCAGGAGGCACAACTTCCCCCAGCATGTTTGTTTCTAACATGAGGAAGTGGTCGATGCTGCAGGCCAGTTTGCCAGCAGAACGAGATTGTCCTGCAGCGCGGTGGGGGGGGGGGGGACGCACCGCCGTGTTAGTCTAATGGAGACACAACTCAGGATGCGGCGTCTGTTTAAATTTCTCATGTGGCAGGTCTCTCTCTATCTCTCATGCTGGGGGGGGTTGGGTCATTAGCAAGAATTCACAGCGCTTCCTCTAACGTTATTTTTTATGTGATAGTCTCTCCCCCAGGCTGAGAGGAGTTAAGCTTTTAGCTAATAATGCAAAGCGTGTTTTAGCTGCAGAAAATGGTCTTCCCCTTAAAGCCAATGGCCGTCCTCTGCCTGGATGTTAGCCGGACTCGCCTCCCCCGCATGCCCCAGTGCACCCATACACACACACACATTCCCCTACCCCCCCCCAGGATGCTCACAGACTCCCACGCAGTACCATAGATGAAGGCCCTTTGCCTCTGTCAAAGTCAACAGTCCCGTTAAGCAAAAAGCATTTTTCAGCGCATTTAATGCAATCAGGTTTGTGCCCAGTTTTAAAACATAAAGCAGTGTCTCCAGTGGCTCAGACTGGTTTTAGTGGTCTATTTCCCAGTTGTTCTGCTGCCTTTGTTGTTTGAAGAGCTGTAATGGTCATGTTTGCTGTGCTTTATATCTTCCAGCAGCAGCTATGCAGCCATGACCTTGTCTTTGACATTGGTGTTGATAAAGGCTGTAGTTCTGTCGTATGGCCCCTAGAGGGACTCACTGTATAACCATAAAGTGCTTCATGAGGGCATCGTTTAGAGCCGCGACACGCAGAGAGGGACAAATAAGCAGAAAATGCACATCTTGTGTTCCTTTATTTTTTATAAGAACCTGCTGATAACCTGAAGGTATTTTTGTTTGTGACTAAGTCTAACTCAGATTTTGATTTCGGATTCCCTGGGGAATGCCATCTCAGACACTGAGGGCTAGAGAGGGGGCCGTCCAGGGGCGTCCCAGCCAGGGACTCCCTCCATCCGCCCCCCATGCTAAATTGATCCCCTGTCATGCCGCTGTCTCAGCTGTCGCTAAAATGTTGCCTCCTCCCTACCATCTTGTCCTGCAGGATACACCACTGGGACCCCCTACAAGGTGCCCCCCACCCAGACTAACGGGGCCCCCCCGCCTTACTCCCCATCTCCCAGCCCCTACCAGACGGCCATGTACCCGATCAGAAGTGCCTACCCCCAGCAGAACCTCTACGCCCAGGTACCGATCCGGAGGAGCCGTTCTCGGTCTATGCAAAATACTGATGACGGTTACAGGTGTGATGACACGTATTTCTCCACCAGGGGGCGTACTACACACAGCCGGTGTATGCTGCCCAGCCCCATGTGATCCACCACACCACGGTGGTGCAGCCCAACAGCATCCCATCAGCCATCTACCCCGCGCCTGTGCCCGCGCCGCGCTCCAACGGTATGGCCATGGGCATGGTGGCAGGCACCACTATGGCCATGTCTGCCGGTGAGCCCCTCCCCCTCCTCCAGAGAGTGTAGAGTGGGCCCCCCATTCAGGGCTATAAATATAATTCAAATATTTCTATTAAGTGCATTAATTTGTACCTCCTCTCTCGACAGGCACCCTGCTCACCACGCCGCAGCACCACACCATCGGGGCGCATCCGGTTACCGTGCCGACGTACCGGCCTCAAGGGACACCCGGATACAGCTACGTGCCCCCTCACTGGTAAACCCACTGGCCGATTCATGTAAGTCTGCACGTGCATGCGCACGCACGCACACACACACACACACGCACACACACACACACTCACACACACACACTCACAGCCTGCCTGACGCTTCGCATGCAGCCCCAGCTCACTGTGCCCACAGGAGGCCGTGTCTGCTGGCGGGGGCCCCAGCACGCCCCTGCTGTCTGCATCACTTCCTGTGGACATCACTTCCTGTCTGTGTAGCTGTAAGTGGTCTGTCTCCAGGGAGATGGAATCCACTGGAATGTGTTCAGTCTCATTTGGAAGAGCAGATGCGTTTATCCCTGAGTCAGCGGCATGTCAGTAATGTTAGGAGAGGCCTGTGCAGGCATGACTGGCAGGAGATGCTGGACCTTCCTCACGCTGCTGCTCTCTCTCTTTCCCTGTCCTCCCCTGCCTTTCAGATCTGGAGTTTAAACATCGTATGCAACTACTCAAGTCTTACACGGAAGCTCCATGTTCAGTGTAGGAGCGCCGAGTCTGTTTGCAAGAACAAGCAAAGTGCAAAGGTCACTTTATGCATTTCCTGGTGTTTTTGTAAAAGCTGCTTTGTAATTGTTTGTTTGTTTTTTTGTTTTTTTTTTGCATCGTTCGTTTTTCTTTTTTCTTCTGTTTTTCCTTCCATGAATACTTTCACAGAAACTCCAGAATAACCCTGACATTCCACACTAGATAGGAGTGCTCTTCTGTCTTGGTGTGGGCCCATTTTCCAGGCCAGAACCAGAACCATGACATCGACTCCATCCTCATCTCCACCCTCACCTCCATCTTATGCTGCCAAATTTTGTAACAGAGTTAGATATTAGGACAGGTTCTCTTGTTTTCTTTTTGTTATTATTTCCGAAGTCCCTCGTCAAAAAGGCTGGCGGATTTCACACTTTATTTTAAAGGATTTCCTTTCAATATTCCTTCCAGTACTGGTAACAAAGGTTGTCTTCCAGCTTGTAGCAGTTTTAGATAGACTTGTAATGAATATATCCACTGTTTAACAGTATAAATGTGGTATTCCCTTTGCTAGGAGAAGGATGCTCCAATAATCTTAGTTACACAATATGTAGAAGACATTTTAAGTCAAGTCAGTTACTTAATTAGCCTGTTCATCAGGATATAGTAAGCAATTATAAGATTTTGAGTATATAGTTGTGTGTGTGTGAGTGTGTTGGTGTGTTTGCACGTTCACACGACCGCGCACGCACGAGCAGTCGAGGTGCCGCACTGCACGTTGACTAGGACCCGGGTGCGGCAGAAAAATGTGAAAGTGATCTGTCTCGTGCCAATTGGGGGAGGGGGGGGGGGGGGGGGGGGGGGGGGGGTGTCACCGGGCCTCATTCAGGAACAGGACGACAACTTAAAGGGACGTAGAGGTTAGCAGTAAGTGTTTGGGGGAGACGCCACAGGATATATCGGGAGGATATGTATGAAACGTACAAGATTTACAAGAATATAAAGGGGTGATACCAGGGGTTGGGGGGTGAAACTGTAAAATGAGCCTTATAGCTCTGGCCCAGTCCCGTCCGGTTTGGTCCAGTCCCACGTGCTCTGCACTTCCTGAAGCAGTTAATCTCCATGCTGCAGCGACGGGCTGTGAGGTCAGAATCCACTCAGGAGCCTGTCCTGATGGGCCGTCCTGAAGGGCCGCTGTGCCCTGAGCACTTATCAGTTCTTAGTGGTAATTTAATCCGATCGTTTAACGCTTTGCCATTTATTGTGGGAATAAATTTCAGTCAGCACTGGTCCAAAAGCATAAGCAATCCGAATGGCTGCTAAGGGCCCAACAACATCCAGGGGGCCCAAAAACATGCTGGGGCCTGAGGTGTGTTAGGGCTACGGGCCCCGATTCAGATTTCGCTTAGGGGCCCAAAAAGGGTTGGGCCCCTGTTTGTTGTTCCAGGTTGAGGTGGGGGGCAGGGGGAAAGATGGTTGTGGAAGTTGAGATTTTAAGGGGGACGTAAGAGAGGTTTGAGTTGCAGGTGTTGTGTTTTTCTGTGTTTTTCTTTACCCCCCAACCAGCCCACGGTCCTGAAAACCATCACGTCCTGAGTAATGATCAGAAAGTTCTTGTTTTTTTGCCGGTTCTGTTTTTAATGACACCCCCCCCCCAGTCCTGAAATCTGGAAGCTGAGATCTTTAATCCCCTCTGTTCTCCTGTCGATGCTAATGGGGAACACGGAAGCCCACGGATACATGTGAGCAGAGTCACACCCACACGCCGCAGAAAACCCCCCCCCCGTCCACGAGCATTTCTCCAGGTCCTCTGTCAGCATTTTTTGTGAGGGGCGCAGTCCGTTTACACCATGGTGGTCAGTGAGTGGCCACAGAACAGGGAGACCCCGCTAAAGGTTGCTTTCGGAGAGCTCTGTGTGAACATGATGGACGATAAACCGGTACTTAGGATGGACAAGCCTCCCCCTGTCTAATGTGTTTCATCTCTGGTACCTCATGGCCTCCATCAGTGTTTCAGTAATTAGCGCATGTTTATATGGAGACGATCCCACACACTGCCTCGTTTACGCAGCCTCGAGTCGTGTCCACAAGCGCAGGGGGGGGGCGCTGCATTACCACAGCCTTTAGGTCTGCTGCTGATGGTCGGCATATTAAATCCCGCAGTTCCCAGGGGGCCGTGTCTCACCTGCTCGTGCGTTCGCTGCATGCTGATTGGCTGCATTACAGCACGGCTGCCCGCCTTGCACCCCACATGTTCCTGCTCACGTGGTTTTGATAAAGTTATACAGTGACCGAAAAAAAAAAAGCACGTCATCACAATGCTGTGGCGCTGGGAGGCGCCGCAGGGCCCGTAGACACCCAGCATGACAAAGCACCTGCCACTCACTTTGATATGGTACAGCCAGTAATTCACGTGTCCAGTAGAAGGGGGCGCTCTTCTGCAGTCCAGATGCTGAATTTATGGGAAAATGAAACGCGTCAGCTGAGCAGTGGCAGCCCCCCCCCCCCCCCCCCCCGCGTCTCACTGATACTGGGTCCGACCGAACCAGCAGGGCACTGGTGTAGTTACAGCAGGACTCTGCCCCCCCGCCCACCCCCTCCCCCACAGGGCTGACATTTTTCTTTGTAATGGGCTCCGGCTGCTGTTTGTCTGACATCAGAATCAGGTGTGTGAGCCCCTGTCCGTGTGGGGGGGGGGGGACACTGATGCGATGTGATCCCACTCCCCAGGGCAAGTGAACAGACAGCATCAAGTGCTGCTCGAATTCTAAACACACTTTTATTGTATATCTTTGCAAAAGAAATTGATTGCAATGTAATGCAATGCATATGAATTGGTGCACAAGGCCCAGCTCATGGTGAAGTTGAATTCATGGTCGGACTGTTGGAGTTCAATAACTCCAGAGGTTCAGTCCCTGTGTGAGTAGAGCCCCTTGGGATTTTAAACTTAAAAAAAAAATAAAAGTTTTAAAAAAGCTTAATAAATGAATTTAAATGGCTAGGTTTAAAAGATAATTTCTGATATGTAATTTAAGTACTTTTTACCATAAGTGTTATTTAAGTTTTGTTGATGATTGATGTTTATTATTCTTACATAGAAGATCTTTATGTTCAGGCTGGGAGCAATTCAGAACACAAGTCCACAGGCTTTCGGGTCGGTCCTGTCCCGGACCGGCGCATAATGCTTTTGGGTTTCATCATGCAGGGGGCATTGTGTGCTTTGAACTTAATAGCTGAACTTGGCACTTGAAGAAATTTCCCAGGGTGAGACTTCAGAAGACTACTTGTTGCTAATTTTATATCCTACCAGTGAGAATAGATATCAAAGCGTGAGACTGTCGGCCGGATGAGTTCAGCAAGCTTTTCAGATGTTCAGAAAGATTCCGCTACGCGAATGGTTTACAAAAACAAATTCTGCAGTGTTTACAGTTCCAGTTCTGACTCTTTTCCAGTTAATTTAGCCTTTGATGGATTTACCATAATACTGCATTTATGTCATCTTCTGATATTTATTGTGTGATCTCTATATCAGTATATATGTGTCTTTAGTTGTCAGATGCAACATTGGCGCAAGGGAAAGTACAGTTTAGAAAGCTGCCTGCCCATTGGCTCAAGCTCCACCAATGAAATGCTTTGTTATGTCAGCTTTCATGCTCGGGATCAAGAAGAACAGAGCACTCTGTGGATGGCTGCCAAGAATGCAGACACTTCTGGCTGGTCTTCAGAGAGCTGAATAACTATAGCTACCTTGTGCATATTCCCCTTAAATTCCCTTCTGTTATAATAACGCCTTCCAGAAGGAAGTGATGTTTGGTGATTTTTTTTTCATATTTCTCCAGGATTTTGGCATTGCTTTATTCAAGCCCTCATCCACAGTGCTCTTGCCTTCTCAAAACCCTGGGTACCAAAATCACATTGTGAGCAGCGAGGCCCAGTTCAGACACCTGCAACATCCACCCTAAACTGCTTTTAAGCCGTTTGTTATGTGTTTTAGTTTGATGTCAGTGAATTAAATCCCTACAGTGGAATACTGTCATGGCGTGCTGTCACCTAGGTTCCCTGCATGGTGTGCAAAGTGGAGAGTGCTCTTGGAGGGAACGCCCCCCCTCTGCCCCTCATATCATCTCAACCCCGCCAAGTAATATGAACCCTGTAGTAATGCGATGAGGTATATCCCAGTCACAGCGGACTCATCCATTGGTTGAATTTTCTTCAAAATTATTGGTTAAAAAGTTAGTTTTCCACTTGTTTGTGAGTTGCCTCTGAGCAGGGACAGGGACAGGGACAGGGACAGGGGTGTATGTTTGCATCTGCACACACAATCACACACAAACACTCAAACGTGTGTGCTGTGGGAAGAAATCAGTTTGTTCTCTTTTGCTTTTGAGCTGTCCGGGGTGGGGGGGGAGGTTCATTCACAGCGAGTAAAGGAATTAATAGGTTTACAGTTTTTTTTCCAGGTAATGCAGCTTGTAATTCTGTTATGTTGTGTTTGTGTTATGATTTGAACACTAATATAATGGCGTAATATTCCTTGTCTTCCAAACGTGTTTTTTGGCACACAGAACCAACACATGGAGGCTTAGTACCCAACTAGCATCCAGCGTTCACACAATATTCCTGTAACATTACGTCGGCGGCGCAATGCGGCGACCATCGCGGTTACAGCAATATTGTTGTGATGTTTTTAAAGTGTTAGATGGGAGCCCTGAGATTCCATGACAGACCCACGTCAGGCTTGTGGACATGAAGTGAAAATGTTTTTTTTGTTTTGTTTTTTTAATTTCATTTTGTATTATTTTGGAGGATCAGTTAGTGATCCCAGTGACAGAATTAAGCCAAGTTTGTAATTGTATTATATTTACTGTAAGATGTAGATCATTCAGTAACTATTAAAATCTTTCCAAAAAAAAAGAATGCTTTGGCTGACCTTCTTCCATATTCTTATGCCTGGTGTCTCATGGCGAGCAGAACGTTCAAGGATGTTGGTATCCCAGCATGCACTGGGTGCCACTCCCAGCATGCTCACCAGCTTCCTGTCTGTGGTGTAACGGGGAACCTGGGAGGCTGGTCAGTGCGGGTGTGTATCTCTGTCTCTATGATCACTCATGCCTGGTAAGACTTCTACTTTCCCTTGTGCCAGAATTGAAACTTCCACAATCTTTCACCACTATTTTCACTGCATGCTGCCCTGCTAAAGTGATAGTGAGATATTTTTGTTGTTGTTCTTTATGTCAGTTATTGGAAATCAGCCAGTGATGGCATCAGGAATCTATCTGAAGCTCAGGGCATGTGAGTAAGGCGTGAACGAAGCTGTAAAAATTCAGGCCCGATTTAAGCAGCCCCCCCCCCTCCCAGATCATGAAACCCACTGACGCCGCACTGGATCCTGTCACCTGGTCACGTAGTTTCACCATTTTTACAAACACCATAGTCAAATCCTGAAATGCTTCTCCCCTTAGACACTAAAGCTCAGCATCTCACACCACAGTATAGTTCCTATTAACAATAATAATAGAAATATGTGTATTAAATATGTGTCACTATCAGAGATGGGTAATTCAGGTCCAGAGAGTAAAAGTCCAGACCGGGATTTTGTCAACCAACCAGTTGAATCCTCTGTGACTGTGACTCTTTATGCTGGTTGGTTGAAACAAAATCTGGACTTTTACTCTCTGGACCTGAACTCTGGTCACTATGTTCCTGGACGCTGCTCTGTAGAGACGCCGGCGCTGCGTGGATGAGGGAAGTGCTCTTCTAAAGCACTGTGAGTTTCCATTAAACGTGCTCCTGGAGTCAGATGGGAAGTGTGCGGTCAGACCGCGGACGGATTCTGGGAAGTCCGGCATGGCTGCCTCCTCGCGGCGCTCCTACTTGCCTGCGGGAGACGGCGCAGATGGAACAGCATTCATGTAGTAAATGGCTTTTGTGTCACACAGCTGCTTGAAAAGAGACGGGGGGGGGGATTCCTGCGGATCACATGCAGGTGGCCCATGAACGGAGAAGTTCTTTGGAGGGAGGTTTCACTTCGCTTTCCTTGGATTTCTGCGCTGAGAAAGCAGAACCAGCTCGAGACAACATCTAAAAAAAACACCCATTAGATGTGTGCTAAGTGACCTGCTCAATGCAGCCTGATCCAATGTTCATTGCATTTATTCAGCAGACGCTTTTATCCAAAGCAATGTGCCCCTGGGAAGCCGGGGTCAGACAGCTCCTGTAGCGAATGGGGGTTAAGGGTCTTGATCACGGGCCCAACCATGATGCAGGTGCTTGAACCAGCAAGCTTCTGATAACAAGCACAGCCAATCTTAACCTACTGAGCCACACATCCATCCCTAACCCACACTGACACAAGTGCGTACATTCGGGTATGGCTGGTAGTGTTATCTCCCTACCAGTATTGCGGGAGAAATGCAGAGCTCTTCTGACCCAGGCCATGTTTTCAGTTCTCCCAGGTAGGTTAATAATGACTGATTCTGATTGGCCAGAGGCTTCATACTTGGTTCCCAGGTAAAGGAAGGCTGGGAAATCAGCAAGGCTTGGACTTTGAGGACCGTGATTTGAACAGCCCTGTGTACCATGTGTGTTTAGGGGGCAGAGGAATTCGTGGCAGATTCGGTTCCTGGCAATACTAACCCAAACTGATGTCCATACGCTGACATCGTTGCAAAGTCATCCAAATTATTAGTGGATCACCAGACCTCTCTTTTTAAGGTCTGGATGCAGATAAAGACAGTGTTCATGGCCTATTCTGGGAGGAAAAGCTGTCAGCTGGGTGAATAAACTGTAAATGTTTATTCCTTTTGCATCGCATGCAAAAAGGCCAGGCCCGGCACATGTTTACCGGCGCCGTGTTTTGTGGCCAGATGGGCCGCATAAACGATCGAATGCTCCTCGTTATTCCGGAGACACTGTCTGCGGTTCGTGAGCTATCAGGATAATGCCTTACTGCAGGAAGCCTGGACCGCCAATGTAATTCCACTGCACGGCGAGAGGGAAGTGCAGGGCTGATGTGGAGGCTGTAATGAGGTCATTCCCTGGGGGGGTGGTACGCTTGATGAGCCTGATATGAGAGGAGGGAGGGGCCCGTAACACCATTCTCCAGGATGGGGAGGTTGCTTTTCACCATCAGTGTTCCTACTGATGATATCAAGGTCCCATCCCTCAGGAAGAACGGTGATTGGAGAAAGACTTCATCCCATGTCCCATTGGTTCATTGATTGGTGTATATTATTTATTACTCATTATAATCTACATATTATATATATTTCAAGAAAAATCAGCAGAGAACAGGGGTTTCCCACATCACTGCATCTACGCTGATTATCTTAAGGCCACATAGGAGTCAGAGGCACACAGAGTCCTGCATGAACTTCGGAAGGTATCTACGGAAGGGATGTTTATGACATCATGTTTATGACATCACGTTTATGACATCATGTTTATGACATCACGTTTATGACATCACGTTTAGTCATTTCCATCATGTAGTGTCGTCATGATTTCCATCATGACTACACAGGATTCTGACCTTTGAGGAGACAGCAAGCTTGCTTGTGGAGAAGGACTTGGCCGTCCTGCTTTGGCTCTCTGCATGTGCAGAAGCCACAGACTGAGTGAAAACGGGAAGCGAGAGGAGAGGAGAGGAGAGGAGGGCAGCGGAGATGGACAGACGCGGTAATTGCACAAACATAGTTTCCGTTCTGCAAACGCTGCGGCGGGAAATTGCTACATTTTTGGAAGCGCCGGAGAGGCCCGTCCTCATAAGTTTCGAGTGATGCAACCAGAAAAATTGCAGACTAACACTGAGCCGCTACATCAACTCTTACTGGCGTTGGAATCTAACTGGTCAGCGTAAGGCTCTGAATGCGTGTGGGTCCTTTTGAGGGGCCCTTAAAAGTCACTTACCCTATTATGCAAAAGGCTCCAATTTTTATATTTTAGGAACTGTGTTAGAATATAAATCTAGGCTTCCCCTACACCCGACTAACCCCATTCAGCCTGGGCAGTAATTCGGTGCGGGAACAACTTTCTGCTGATACAGCGAAATCCCCAGCCATCAACTTACTCTCCGTTCAGAGAATTTAAGGCAAAACTTGTATCGGCATGTTTGGTCTATCTAGCTCTGGGACTATCTAGAAGTACTGAAACAATTCAGAGGCTGCACAGCATAACAGGATGTTCATCCTATTCAGGGTCATGGGGCATCCAGACCCTATTGGCACAAGGCAGGGAACATCCCAGGATGGGGTGCCAATCCATCGCAGGGCACAAGGCAGGGAACATCCCAGGATGGGGTGCCAATCCATCGCAGGGCACAAGGCAGGGAACAACCCAGGATGGGGTGCCAATCCATCAGAGGGCACAAGGCAAGGAACAACCCAGGATGGGGTGCCAATCCATCAGAGGGCACAAGGCAAGGAACAACCCAGGATGGGGTGCCAATCCATCAGAGGGCACACTCACACACCTATGGGTAATTTCAGCCTGTTTTTGGACTGTGAGGGGAAACCAGAGAACCCAGAGGAAAAGCCATGACAACACAGGGAGAACATGCAAACTCCACACACACAGCGCTTTACCAGAGACTCAAACCCAGGTCCTAGAGGTGTAAGACAACAGTGCCAACCACTGCACCACCACTGTGCCAGATGGGGAATACATACCCCCCTTAATGTAGATTCATTCAGCCATCCCAATAAATAGTTAAATAGTCCTTTGTATTTAAACTGATGCCCCCCCCCCAAGTACCAAACTCTTGCCTACACCATTGACCACAGCTCAGGGACTGTCTGAAGTGGGTGTATCTAACTAATTAATTTCAAAGGCTGACAGTCCGAAGTCAGCATGTTTGATTCACCAGCTCAGGAACTAACTCAGTGACTCAGTGAGTAATAACCAGCATGGTCGATTAGTTAGTCCAGTGACCAGTGTAATGGTAGCATGTCTGGTAAACTCAACTCAGCGGCAGGATGCCAGCCTATCATTGGCTATAATGCAATATAACCAAGTCAAACGACTAATCAACAAGCCAGGAATGCTGTTTATCTCTTCTAACCAGGAATCCTGGTCACGCCACCATCTAGGAATTCACCAGTGTTAACAAGTACAGACAACCAAGAAGTAAACAAAACAGATTTATTTGATGCATAAAACAACATAGATCAATCACTGTTCAAAACAATGACACAGAGACCAACCTAAATAAAACCTAAGTGGCTATTTAGCTACACAACTAGCTTATACCCATACAAGACAACATGTAAAGTGATAGATATCCAGAGTTGGGTAATTCAGGTTCAGAGAGTAAAAATCTGGACCGGGATTTTGTTTCAACCAACCAGTTGAGTAATCTTGGTCTGGACTTTTATTGTCTGGACCTGAATTACCCAACATATCCCAGCATAAGACACACATGAGTAACTGGAGGAGGTCAGGCTAACCTGCCAATCACACAGGATCACTCCAGAGCTCAGATTACAGGGTGTCTTTTCAGTGAAGCTACATGTGGTGAGTATGCTAACATACCTGCCGTCTGCGGGTGAGTATGCTAAACATACCTGCCGTCTGCGGGTGAGTATGTTAAACATACCTGCCGTCTGCGGGTGAGTATGCTAAACATACCTGCCGTCTGAG